TGTGGTAGAGTAGTTTTGAAGGTTTCATGGCTTCATTGGACAGGAGAATGGAGTCACTTCTTGCAATGAACCTGTAGTTTAAGTAGAAGGCTTGGTATTTTCTTTTAAATGCAGCTTTTTCTGTTATTATTGTTGTTGGTACTCTCACAGTCTTCTGCTTTCTCAGCACTGAATCATTTCCCTTTTTCAGAGAGGCTCTCCAGTGATGTTTGTTTGGTTTTTACTCATTTTGGCTAGAGTAACCCTGTGGGCTTATCCAAACTGAGCTAAGGGCACAATGCAAGAGATAAAGCTGAAAATGGTAAATACAATAATGGGCACTCCAAGCACAGACTAAAATTAGTGTTGAATTGATGTACATCAACTCACTATAAAGTCTGCCACCAGATGCAGATTGTCACTTGCCACTCCCTGATGGATTTTCTTTCTTTCTTTCTTTTCTTTTTTTTTTTTTTTGTCTTTTTGAAATAGGGTCTCACTATGCAGTTCAGGCTGGTCTTGAACTTACTTTGTAGCCCATGCTCGAACTCACAATGATTCTTCTGCCTCAGCCTCCGGAGTGCTAGGATTATAGGTGTGCACCACCATGCCAGGCAAACTGATGGGGTTTTGATATGAGTTTGCATGTGAATGATTTATTATGGTCTCCCTACAGTCAAACCTCTCTGCTAATGTTAATCTGTATTTGTAGCCACTCCCCAGTTCAGGCAACACTCAGCTCTGCCTCAGATCATCAGCCATTAGATTTTCAAAAGCATCAGGCAACTAGATCCCTCACATGTGCAATTTACAGTAGGGTTCATACTCCTATGAGAATCCAATGACACCACTGATCTGACAGAAGGTGGAGCTCAGGTGGTAATATTAGCCAGTGGTGGAAAGCATCTGGAAATTCAGATGAAACTTTGCTTGCTTGCCTGCCCACTACCCACCTCTTGCTGTGCAGCCTGGTGCCTAATGGGTCACAGCAGTCTGTGACACAAGAAGTTGTGACACTTTTACTAAAGGCTTCCTGTCTGTGAATAACTGCCGTGAAGTAAGGGTTGGTCTGATATGACCAGATGTCAGCATGAAAGCTAACAAAAATGTACAGGAAAAGAATAATTAATGCTTTATTTAGTACCAGTACAATGTCCAAACATCTCTAAATTCTCATCAGTAACCCACTAATAAATTAATCCATCATAAATTTAACTATATCTGCTTTAATCCCAGATTTCTTTATAAGCTTGTTTTATTTGTTTATGTATTTACCCAATAAATGTTATAGAATGACAGGTACTTGTTTAGGTGCAGGGAGTATGGCAGTTTGAAGAAAATAAGAAGCTTATTTTCTAGTAGAAGAGAGACAACTGAAAAAAATTTATGTGCGTGCTTATGCACATATTATTTATACACAAATAAACACATATGAAGTTCTTAAATTAAATGCAATTGTGTATAACCTATAAATTGAATTTATAATGATATATCTAATTTATCATTTTATATTCCTGATGCTGTATTTGATGATTACCATAATTTTCATAATGATTTGTGGAGAATATATATTAGAGATACATATTCAGGCATATATGTATACTCATATCCATATATATGGATATGCACATATGCCCATAAATATGTGTGATTTCCAATGAAATCTCCAGATGGCGATTAATGCTATAACAAAAACAAAGTTAGGTATGGGACAGTGTGGAGGCATAGACATAGGTAAGTGTGGGAAGGCAAGAGTACTGGTTATAATTTATAAAATAATCAAGACAATCAAGAATTATATGCTTTGTATACAATTTTTTTTTTTTGTACTGGAAATCAAAAACTCAGGACCTTGCATTTGCCAGGCAGGCACTTGTGCCACTGAGCTACATCCCCGGCCAGACACAATTTTTTGTGTTGTCTCCTTTAAAAGGAAACAGGAGAAATTCTGCCCCGGAGAAAGAGGAAGGAAATACACCATGCCAGATCCCAAATGCAGTGTGTACGCCATACCTAGAGTCTGTTTTCATTGGGTCATATTGTATTTGTGACTTATTTTACTTGTTCTGTTAACTTCCTCTAAGTCATGTTGAATGTGGCCTTCAAAATGTAGCCATGCTTCTGAGCAGCACTTCAGTGGGCAGTTGGTTTTGGAACAATCTACTTCTCATCCTACACTTGATTTCATGGTTTTAAAAACTTGCTACAGGTAATAATGGGACCAACATATACTAGGATATTCTTTGGGCATTAGACATTGGAAATTTACCAAGGAAGCTGGCACACTGCTCATTTTCTTCTGTTCTGGCTTTACAAGATTTTTGTATTGCATTTTAAAATATTTACAGTATATTTTATTGATCTTCATCCTACTGCTCAGCCTGTGATTCCCTTATTTTCCAACTTTACCAGGCCATAGCATAACTATAACTTACTTTATACACAGTGGAGTGTTTTGTTTTGGTACTGGGAATTGAACTCAGGACCTTGTACTTGCCAGGCAGGCACTTGTGCCACTGAGCTATATCCCCAGCCCTATTACTTCCTCTAAAAATGATTTACTTAAACCTTTTACTAAGTCAAGTCTCTGTTTATGCTCTTTTCATCTTGTTGCTCACCTTGCAGACCACCACCACAATTTCTGTAGTTATAGATGAAGTACCTATGTGATGCCTGTTATGGTTTATTATCTAGATGTTCGCCCAAAGTCCCAGGCACTCATAAGTGGGGCATTCAAAAGATGATGGTATTATAGAGGTGGTATAGTGAATTGCTGTTAGGAAGGATCTGGTTGGTAGAGGTAGGTCCCTGGGAGCATGGCCTGGAAGGGTTTATCTCCCTCCCCGACCCTCCCCTTCATAATCTCTACTTTCCCAAAGCCAGGTCACAAGCACCAATTGATCTGCTAGGTCATCCTGCTAGGAAGTCATCAGACTGTGGACTGAAACCTCTACAAACTGTGAGCCAAAGCAAACGTTTCCTCCTTATAGGTGTTAGGTACTATACGGCAATGGTGAGAAAGTGTCTAAGACAGATTTTGATACCAGAGAAGTGAGATTGTTGCTGTGATACTGCCTGACCATGTATTTTAGAAGCCTTTGAATGATTCACGAGAGGAGTTTTGAAAGGTTTGGAAATGCTGGCTAAAGGAGCAGCCTTAGAATGCTATAAGTTGAGCTTGACGGGAGATTCTGGTTGGAGCTGACTCGAAGGCTGATAGAAACGCAGCTGACACCCTCAGCTGCCAGATCGCCTTGGGAAATGCCTCCTGTTAAACAGAGTCGTAAATCATGCCCTATTCCAGGGCCAGTTTGCATTCACTGCCTAATCAGTGCTGGGTTTAAGGCCCAGCCTCTCATATCAACTCAGCACAGTCTCTCTGAGGCCATCCCAGCTTCAAAGTTCTGTAGTTCTCCTGAAGACTGTTGGGACGGTATCACGAATGAACTTCTTGTTCTCTCTTTCCTCCATCTCCCTTTCACAAAAGCCTATCCCAACAGTACCTCTAATAAATGCCTTGCACCTTAATCTTCATCTCAGAATCCTAAGTAACCCAGTCTATGATGCATACCACAAAAGCGTTTACAAACAGTATTATGATCTCTAGTAATCCACGCACTCCTCACCAGCAATGATATTATATGCCCTTCCATCTGCAACGATTAGAAGTTGCCTTCCATGTAGCGGACACCACAGGCACACCAAAGGAATTATTACCCTCGAACGTGGTCTAGATTCAGCCACAGCTTTCCTATTCAAAGTGTGGTCCTACAGTCAAGGGCACTGCCGTTCCCTGGGTACTTTGTCAGAAATGCAGAATCATATTTCCCAACCTGAATCAGACCTGCTGAGTCGGAATCTACAATTTTCTCAATAGCCCTAAGGTTTGCATGCGCAGTAAAGTGTGGGAAAGACTGAGATGGTCTAGCTGAGAATTCAGAATTCTCTGTAGTTTGGGCAGTCTCTTGATGTGTTTTTGCCAAAATTCTGCTTAAAGCTAATGCAGTTGTGCATCCCTTCATTCCACAAATACTAATTGAGTTTCAAGCACACTTTTCCGCCCTGCAGAGATACATTCCAAGCGAGAGATAATAAAATCAAAGTGCATATTTTAGTGTGTGGGAAGATGAAAAGTGGGATAAAAAATAGGACAGGGTTAAAAAGAGATCGAGGAATTTAAAATATTTTCAAAAGACCATTTTAAACATGGAAGCAGACGAGGTAGTTAGCCATGAGCACATTTGAGCACAGGTTTGGGAGCTGCAGTAGATAGATCCAAGGAGACCAATGTGACTCCAGGGAAAGGGGCATGCCAAACATCAGAGAGGCGAGAGGGCAGGTGAGAGCTGCTTAATGACCTGCTATTCGACATTTCACTCCTAAAAAGGTAAGGCAAGTCGTTTTCTCTCCAAGAATAAAAATATCCTCGGCCAAGTTCAATTGATGTGGGTGGTGGGAGCTTGCACAAACCGTTTCACTAGCGCAGTCTTAGGTTCCCCGAGCAAAACTGCTGCTATCAGAGAAGATTTTAAGGGCTCGTTCTGTTCTAAAATCTCATTCTGAAAGACGCCTCGATGTGACGTCTAATATAGTGAAATAAAGTTCCTCGCCAGTCTGTGAACTAAGGCAAAGTTCTGCAACCCCAGGGCAACGCAAACAGGAAGAGGAATTGCGGAAGGTGATGCCAGGAAGGTGAAGCCAGGACCTTCGGACTCAAGTTCCTCATGTAGGCAATCAAATCTTAGCCACACGCTATGCACTCTCGGTCCCAGCTCCGGTCGGAGCCGCCCCTTTCCGAATAAACTCTGCCCTCCTCGCCCACGCTCTGCCTCGCGGCCCCGCCCCCGTCCAGTCCACACGCTCTGTTTCTGTCTGGGTCTTAACCCCGCCCCAACGGCCCGCCTCCCCGCGTCCCGTCCACTCAGGGTCTCCCGGTCCACCCCTGGCCTTCCAGACAGAGGGTCGGGCCCGCCTCAGCCCCAGGCCCCGCCTCCTAAGCCCCGCCTCCTGCTGCATGCTAATCTCGGGCGGAAGTGACATAAGGGCGAGGCCGCAGGCCGCGCCTGCGGCGATCTGCGGTCTGTCTGATCTGGGTTCCCAGGTTCGGAGTGGCAGCATGGCTGTCCTCGTCCTCCTGATCCTTCTTGTGCAGTGCGGGAGCCTGGCTGAGATGAGCACCGCGGAACCAGAGCCGTCCTCGGGTACTGTCGCTTGCGGCTGAGTCACGGCCTTGTGGGGTCGGCCGGGCGCGGGAGGGGAAAGCGGGAGCCGCCCCAGCCGGGAAGCCCCGCCCGCTCGGCCGCCGCGGCTCGTCGGCTTCTCGGCTTCTCGCGGCCCGGGTCCGGGTCCGGGTCGGGGCGCCGCCTGGACGGCGCGGCGCGGGGTCTCCGCCGGCACAGCTAAGCGCGCCGCTCGGTTGCTTCGGACTCTAGTCTGCGTTTATTGTTCGTTTTTCAATAAATGAGTTTCCAGGTCAACATTGGGCAGTGCGTCCGCTGCTCCTGGCTGAGAATACTTCAGTGTCAGGGTGCGCTCGCAATCCTTGGACAGGGGAGAAGTTTTCTGTCGTCGGCTGAGAGATTTTGTTTGTTTGTTTGTTTTTGGTACGGGGAATCGAACTCAGGACCTTGTGCTTACCAGGCAGGCGCTGGTGCCACTGAGCCATATCCCCGGCCCAACGGCGAGATGTTAAGAGGCGGTAAATTGTTGGTCTTGAGTTTCAGTCTGGAAGCGGTGGGATGCGCACGCTCAGTAGCACATACATCCGCGGGTCTCATCACATAGTTAGGTCCTCGGAGCGTTTATTTCCTCCTGTTTATGACATTTCCCAGGAAACGGATGCTGGAAATAGCTTTTATAAAGCTCAGAGGAATCGTGATTAGGAGGTGCAGTGAAATCAGTAAACCTGTTCACCTAACCCTCCGGCCCCCGTGTCTCGCAGTTTTCAGTTTAGCTGCTGCCTGGGAGGCATAGGGAGGCCCAGCTTCCTTAACCGGTAGTGAACTTGGGCCTGAACCTCTGTATTCTAACTTCTTCCTTGAGTTCCTGTTAGCTGTGCTCCAGTCAGTGCGTCCCTCCTTCGGCTTGATCTGCAGAAGTCAAGCTAACAAGTATCTATCCACTCCTTCCTTTGGGGCAGACATGGTGTCAAATTCTGGGAAGACAAAAATCGTAGTTATTCAGTTTCTGCTTTCAAGAATCAGGGTAAGATCCGTGATAAAAGTTACTAAGAGCTGCACACTGTTGTAAGTACCAAACATCTCGTTTTCACAACACCCATACAAAGTAGATGCTGTTGTATTTCTGTTCAGGGGTGGGAGGTTGATGAGGCAAAGAGGTCTGCTTACTACTACTAAGGTCACTCCTACTCAGTAGGGAGCTGGGCCCTTTGGCTCTGGAGTCCAAGTTCTTACCCACTCTAATTGCCATTACCTAGGGCGAGGGCAATCAATTGCAGTTTGCTGTGCAAGAGCTTGAATTTAGGCTTAGGCTACTGCAAAGCAAGATATGAATGCCGGCTCTGTCCAGGGCAATCAGGAAAGACTTTACAGAGGTTACCCCAGGTGCAGAGGCAGAGATGTGAAATACTGTGAACTTGAGGACTAAAGTGTTCTGTCCAGACTATGTGTGTGAGGGTACAAGGGCAAACAGAATAGATGGAGAGGTAAGAACCCAGTAATGAAATGCCTTGCCATGTATAATGTAAGGCATAGAAACAAAGCTTTGGATTACTTAAGCAAAAAGGAAATTAATGGCTCAAAATATCCAAGCAACAGTTAAACAGAAAACTAGAGATATCTGCTGGATCTCAAGAAGCTAGAACGAAGAGCTCAGGCTGTTAAAACTTGTTGTTTTCTTTATTCTTTTTGGACCTGGACAGTTTTCTCACCTTAGCAGGAATTATGGGTTTTGATAACTTTTGAGTGTTAAAATTGTGCACCTTCTCCAGGCACAGGGGCATGCTGTACTCTCAGCTACTTGGCAAGTTGAGGCAGTAGAAGCCTGAGTTCAAGGCCAGCCTGTGCAATTTAGCCAGACCATGTCTCAAAAATTAAAAAAAAATATGGTTTGGGATGTGGCTTATTGGTAGAGGGAGTGCTTGCCTAGCACACTTAAGGTTCTGAGTTCAATCCCCAGTACTGCATTCTCTGCCCAATCCTGTAGCTTCTTCATCCTAACAAAATCTCAGGGGAAGGGTCTGATTTACCCAGCTTGGTTAGGTGCCAGCACATATGGGAAAGCAATGGTCACAAGGAACAGGGTGGGAGCATTCCCAGAAGAAGTAGCATTGTGTTCCTGAAATCCAGCAAAACTCTATCTAGGACATAGTTTGCTATATCTAGAGCTCAGACTTAAAACTTGTCTTTTCTTAATTCTTTTTGGACATTGACTGCTTTCCCACCTTAGCAGGAATCATGGTTGCTGATAACTTTTGAGTGTTAAAATCATGCTAAAATATATGTTAAACTATATATCAAACTACATATAGCAAACTATATCCCTGGCTGAAGTCCCTGGGCAGCCGCTAGATTACATTATAAAGGGAGGTGATTTTATGCAGGATTAAGATTAACTATGCAATTTCAAAAGGCCAGTCTTATAAGAGTTTAGGGGAGGAGATCCATTTAGCAGCCTGCTGCTTGAATCTGGGGAGTGGTGGATGAGAATTAGTAATGCAAAAGGAGAGGAGAGGACAGGGTAGAGGAACCTTTGGGAAGCAGTGGACAGGACCCTGGGGGAAGAGAAGAGAATGATTCAGCTTCCTGACTGGGACTGAGCACTAAACCAAGTGCATATTATTTACCTAAATAACTTGATCCATGTTCTGCTTTGAAAAGACAGTACAGTACATGTATTAAATAATTGTAAATTTAAAAAATGTATCAGTTTGGACTTTTGGGGGAATTTTTATTGTAGGAATGATTGGAGTTTGGGAATTTTCTTTTTAGAAAAAATATAGTAGGCATTTCCTTTAAGAGTGAGCAGATATTTTGTGTATATTAATTAATGTCTGTCTTGATAGATGAGAAATCTGAAGTAACTGTTTAACAGTATCATCAAATAACCCAGGTTTCTTCATGCCTGACTCCATGAGACTTTTTGTGTTGTTTGCTTTGTCTTGGTTTTTAAGTAGTTCAAGTGAGTGTCATTACCTTCCAGGGTGTCGGGAAAAAATAGAAACTTGGGCTTGGACACTCGGAGAACTTTTGAAGACAATGATGTTATGTTTAGAAACCACTGCACCTGACCACGTTTACCATTCATTTATTTATTTTGATTTTATTAGTGAATCATGCTTAGTGGAGTTTCCCAGCTATAGGATGGATTAACCTTGAATTTTGAGTCATGTCATTAACTGTGGCTGTACCTTTATGTTCATCCTCCTATTCACTACTATGACTTTTTCAAGTCTTACCAACAAATGTTTCCTCAAATGGCTTTGTAAAACGAAGACAGAATTAAGAAAATTAGAGATCATTATTACAATAAGCATTTATTTATCAAAAACTCCTAAAACATTATGGGAATTTATTGCTTCGTGTTATATTTGTATTTCACTCATACACAAGGAGGTTTCCATCATTTAAGTCAAAACCCTTTTGTACCCTTTGAAATCATTTTACTTTATTGCAGAGACTCTGACTTTTGAAATATATTTGATTAACATGACATCTTACAAAAAGGTTTTGTGATGTTAAGATTAGTTTCTTACTGTTGTCCATTTTACTTTTTGAATCTCTTACAGTGCCAGTGCCAAGCAATGTTCGAATTCAGTCCTATAACATGAACCCAGTCCTGTACTGGGACTACCGGAGCATGCCCCAGGATGTTGTTTTTGCTGTGGAGGTAAAGCACTACGGGTAGGTGTTGTTCTTCTCTCCTTTCCATTCTGTTTTTATTTAAGTCCTTGAACATTCCGTGACTGTTTTCCTTCCATCATCCTTCCCTCCTGCATGGCAAACCTTCCTGAACTGATGGTAGATTTTCAGAGATGCTGAGAATGCAAATTAATTCTTTGTAAATTACCTCCTCAGAATAACTGCTGTGCAGTGGGCAGTATGTAGCAGCTGGATTGTTGATCTTTAGAGCAGGCCTTAGAGTTTGAATTGAGCCTCTTTATCATAAGGTATTGTGTAATACAGTTCTAGTATCCTTTATGCTTGGGACCAGAAGTGTTCTGATTTTTACTTCTGTTCAGAAGTATTTCTGATTTTTTTCAGATTTTGAAATATTGGCATATGGATAATTAGGTATGTTGGGGATGGGATCCAAGTCTAAACATAAAATTCATTTATATTTCATATACATCTTATACCTAAGGTATAAATATAAGTATATAACAATATATAAATATAAATTTATAAATTGCCTGAAGGTAATGTGATACACTATAATTTTATGCATGAAACTAAGTTTCGTGGTGCAGAATTTTTCTGTTTTGGCGTCAAGTCAGTGTTCAAAAACTTTTGGATTTTGGAACATCTTGGATTTCTGATATTTTTGGATTAAGGATGCTGGACCTGTACTTCCAACCAAAGTAAGGGTTTCCTGCTTCGTCTGTCTTCTCCATCCTATTCTTGTTTAGCGCTTCCTACCAGCTTTGTGCTGTAAATGAAAAATAAAACACAGAGATAGTTCAAGTTTGTGATAACAATAAAAGTTACCTTTGTGTTTCTTTATTCCTCTTCATTTTAGGAATAAATGGATTAATGCCTGCAACAATACACCTCATCATCATTGCAGTATTTCCAACGTTAATAACCCAGATCTTCCTATCTGGGCCAAAGTTAAAGCTAGAGTTGGACAAAAAGAATCTGCCTATGTAGAAAGCAAGTCCTTTGTCATATGTGAACATGGTATGTAGAATGAATACATGTGAATATTAAATTGGAACATGCATGTTTTCTGTGCATGTTTGCTTTTATTAGCAGTTGTTAGAAATGATCATAATGTGTAGGACATATTGGGAGGAGTTTAGGGTGAGCCAGTATCATTCCTTTTCCTCCAGCCCCACAGAAACAACCATCTCTTCACTGCTTCTACACTAAGTTTCCACTCCATGCAGATCTGGAGCAGCTGCCCAGCTTCGCCTTGCATCACTCTTCCCTCCCCGTGTGGTCTGTAATCCCTTCAGAGAATGTTCACTGAGGGCTTTGGTTTCTGGCTGTCATTCTCCTGTTTACTTAAATCCTTAGTGTCTGTGGGCATTTGAATACCAACTTAATACGTGGAAAAGTTTTAGAACTCATCTGTACACCCCTGTGATTTGTCAGCTCTTCGTTCTTCCAGTGTCTCACTCCAGTAGCACACTTCAGACTCCTGGATTTCTGTGCCAGTTCCTATTTGCTGACTCTCTGTGTTCTCCTTTGGTAGTCATACCTCATTTCTGAGTAAAATAAACCTTTAGGGGGCTGGGGATATAGCTCAAGGGCGCAACGCCTGCCTGGCAAGTGCACAATCCTGAGTTCATTTCCTGGTACCAAAAAAAAAAAAAAAAAGTTTACAGTCATTTAACTCTACCATAGTCTGATAGTCCTTTGGTACCTCTTCTTCTAGCTTCCCCTCCTTTTTTTATTCAGCTTCAGTGCTAGATTACTTGAGCTGCTGCCTTTCCAGTGCTCCCCACTGCTTTGACTCTCCTTCTGCTTTTCATATTGTGCTGTCTTGGGCTCTTTCATAAGTTCTTTCGCTGCTTATCCTTTGAATTAGCCAGCTTTCCCATTGTAGACACAATACCCAACACACACAACTCAAAGGAGGGGAGGTTTAATTTGGCTCATGTTTTACGGAGACTCAGTCTGTGGTCACCTGGCTCCAGGGCAGGAACATCATGGTGGATGAGCCTGGTGGTGCAGAGCTGCTCAGTTCATGGTGGCTGGGAAGCAGAGGTGCCAAAGAGGAAGGGGTAAAGGACCAGACTTTGACCCCAAGGCCACACCTTCACCATCTTCCCAGGCAGCAGAAGTGTGATCCACCAGGCCTCTGGGTAGAGCCCCAAAGCCACTCTAGTTGACCTTGCATCCTAACCACTGTACCCTTAAGTAGTCTATTCTTCCAAATCCTATTTTTGTTATCTGATACATTCTATCTGTTTTGTCAGAGTTTCCCCTACTGATTTTTCAAGGGCCAGAGATGTGCTAGAAAGTGTACCAAGCCCTGAGGAACATTAAACAGATCTTCCTGGCACACAGTTGGTGCGCTGTAAACTTAAAGCATAGTTAAATGGTTTACCAGTGAAGTCTTAAACATCCGCAATGAATGGTTGCTGAATAATTGAATATCTAGGTCTGATTTTCACAGTAAAAATTGAATTATTAGCAAACTTTTATAGAGGCTGCATGCCATTAACCCATGCATCTTGAAGATACAGTTTTTCTGAGGAAAGACAACTAAATTAAATGCCTTTCAGAAACAGGTTTTAGAAATCTACTTTTTTCTTAACCTATAAAAACAAACATAAAAAGTACTTAATAGAGCTTTTTTATGTTAAAATTTTAATTTTTTTTATATCAAGTCCATAGCCAATTTCTCCTGAATTAGAAATGAAATTCAACTGCTAAAGAGTTTGGATAAGAGTACTTCTTGTGTGAGATTTATGGAATATTTGTGAAGCGTATTCGGAATATCCTCTAGATTTTTGTGGAGTAATTTAAATGTGGTCCTACTTAGTCAAGGTATCCTACTTTAGGTAAAATGTGGTCCTGCTTTAGTAAAAAACAAAAAAGAGTGGCTTAGTTGATTGATTTTGATAATTCTATGGAATGTACTCTGAGGTTCCGAGGCCAGTATTAACTATACTGCTCTCTCCCCAGGAAAAGTTGGACCGCCTGAAGTAAATGTTACACGGGAGGAGAACCATATCGCTGTTGATGTGATTCACCCTTTAATGATAGAAGAGCAGGAAAGTATGTATTTTGAAGATCCTTGTTCTGGATTTAACTACAATGTGTACGTGAGAGTGAACAGAAGTGAGGTAGGTATTTCTGTTTCATATTTTTTATATATTTAGAGTGTACAGAGTTGATTATTAGTTTCTTTTTATTAGTAAGTGTTTGCAATACATAATAATTATATTGATCTTAAAGAATTGATACCTATACATACCACATCTGTTTTTCTATAGCTAGTTATAAGTTATTTCTTTATGTTGTATATTGAAAGTGGAATGCTGATGATACTCAGGCAAAACCCCTGGTCATAACTTCTAGGAAGAAAATATGTATGGATGCTCATGAAAGGAATTGCTATGTAATTAATCACTACCACTGACTAGATGAGTACTTCTAAGTTTTTTCTTTGCCTCATTAATAAGATGGCCCTGTATCTCCACACGTTACATGGGATAATGTAATTTTTTTCTCTTCTAGTGATGATGTAAAATAATGTGCATTTATAATTTGAATCATTTTTGAAAAAGAAAATAATATAACTGTGGGGATATCATCATGTTATTCAAGCACTGGTGTGGGGTCCATGCATTGATTGGAACTGTTCTGTATTCTCTACATGATGGCATTTCTTTATTTGATAAATGTAGTATCTGCCTGCGAGGCATATAGGAACACAGCTGAGAGCAGGGTGACCAAACTCAGAGTAACTGCTGTGCAGTGGGCAGTGTGTAGTGGCGGGGCTGTTGATTCTTAGAGCAGGCCTCCCAGGGAAGGTCGTGACTGCTGGCAGGGGAGGTTGGGATGTGAGCCCCGTGGATGTACATGGGAGAGCATTTTGGGAAAGGACGCAGCAGGGGCACGGCGGTCACATGAGGGTAGCAGCCAGTGGGCCAGTGGGGCTGGCAGGTGCGGGAAGCGGCTGAAGGCAGAGGACATTGGAGGAATGTCTGTGACTGTGACAGGACACAGTCTGTGACAGGACATTGACTGTGATCCTTTTATTGCACCTTGGGAAGATTTAAGCAAAAAAGTGATGTCTGATTTAGATTTTAAAATATCTTCTCAGTGGTTGGCAGAGGCCTTTCTGAAATACAGATCTAATGATGTTAGTCCACTGCTTAAAACTTCACGCAGCCCCATTAGCTATAAAATAATGAGTTTCTTTCCATGATGTGGCCCATAGGCTCTTGTGACTTAGCCTTGTGCTCCCCTCCAGTCCCCATCTTCTCATTCTTACTGTTTTTTTGTTTGTTTGTTTTTTTGTTTTTTGTTTTTCTTCTGGTACCAGGAATCGAACTCACGACCTTGCACTTGCAAGGCAGCCCCTTTGCCACTGAGCTAAATCCCCAACGCCCCCATCTTCTCATTCTTTTCAGCATTGTTTTCACCCATGCTTCAGGGAACCACTGGTTCCTTGATCCCTGAAACCGCCATGTTCTCTCATAGAACACCCTTCTCACCCTTCTCCATTTAGCAAATTTCTATCCATTCTTCAGTAGCTGAGGCGCAATCTCTGCTTTAATTCTTTTCTGGGCCAGTGGACTGTTTCCTTTCTGTTGTCTTGGTTCCAAATAGGGTCCCTCTGGCAGTACTTTTCAGTCCTTGCTACATTTCTTTCTTACCTCTCTTCAACTCTAATCATAAGGTACCACCATCCGACCTGCATTTGTCAGTACCATGTCACTGCAGTGAAATCCCTAAGACAACTACCATATGAAGAGGAAAGGGTTAATCTCTCTGTGACCCTTTGCTACTGGGAATTAACCCTGGACCTCACATATGCTAGGCCAGCACTGAGTTATACACCTGAGTTACACCCCTAGCCCAAGTGATTACATCTCAAACCGGACCAGAGACAGAGGGGAAGATTGGGGTCTCATAATCCCTCCCAAGGGCACACCTCCAGTGACCCTAGACCTCCCATAAAGCTCCACCTCTGAAAGGCCCACCATAACACCACCCTGGGGACCAACCCTGTTTTATACATGGACCTTTGTTTTGTTCTGGTACTGGGAATCCAACTCAGGACCTTGCACTTGCCAAGCAGGCACTTGTGCCACTGAGCTATATCCCCAGCCCCTATACATGGACCTTTGGAGGACCCGTAACCAAACCACAGTACTACTTTTGTGTCTTCAGGTCCTAGCACAGTTGACCCACACACTGGCGGATAGAATGAAAGATAAACTTTATATCGATCATTTGTAGGTCCTACTTCCCAGAGATCCTGCTGCCTTTGCACATTACTTTTATCATCCTTCCCATAAAACTTCACTAGCTATGTTTCTAACACCTTAGGAATAGGAAAAATTAACATCTGTTTAACATCTAACAGTGAACATTCCTCTGTCCAAGTTTTTGATAGATGCACATCATCATGCTATGTTGTAACAAATTGACTTACTATTTGATATCAGAAGTGTTTCAGATATGTTTAAGATTCATCATATGTACACTTTATGGTGTATGTGGGTGTGTGTGTTTTCCTTGGTTTTGACCAAGGTAAGGTGGATATATTTTATAGATTAAAGAAGCAATGCTTTTTTTTTTCCATGTAGACCCAAAAGCACACCCTCATAGGGGAGGACTGCCTCGACATTGTATGCCGTTTAAGAATTCCAGTGTCCTCACTGAATACTCAGTACTGTATTTCAGCAGAAGGACTCTTAGGTCACTGGAATGTTAAAACTGAAATGTCAAAAGAAAATTGTATTACCATTCACAGTAGCAGCGTAAAAGGTAAGTTCTTGCCATTTCTTCTTAAATACAGAAAAAGGTAACTAAAAGAGGGTAATGTAAGAAGAGGCTGATTTATTTGCAGTTTCAGAAAAATGTTAAAACATTCAGTAGCTCCATCGCTCTCAGAGGCAGTTTCTGAGGTAATAATATGTATATACAAAGTAAACCATTGGAAAGCCATTTGATAACCCAGAAAAAGATATAATAAATATGTAAAATTGTAGGTATAAATAGCTGCATTCAGAAGTTTACCATAGTTAATTTGTAAGATTAAAAAATCCAGAAGATAATAAAATTATCTGTAATCCTATCATACCCCCAAAATATGCCATTATTCACAGTTCATTGTTTTCTTTTCATTCTATTTTTCTCTTTGGTTTTTTATGTATCCATTGCATTTCATAGTGTATATAATTTTGTGTACTAGAGAGTTTCTTTTTCTTTACATACTCACTGGCATTTGTTCTGTGTTGTTACTGTTTTGATAGTAGCCATTCTAATTAGGGTTAGATGGTGTCTCATTGTAGGTTTATTGTTTTTGTGTTAAGATAATGCCTCACTGTGTGTGTGGGTCACACTTGTCTTGAACTCTCAACCCTCCTGCCTCAGCCTCCCAAGTGCTGGGCTTACAGTTACAATGCCATCCGAACCCACCTCTCACCTGTCATTCTACTTTTGATTTGTGTTTCCCTAATGGCTGATGATACTGTTTTTTTCAAATATTTCTTGACTACTTAGATACCTTCTTCTGAGAAGTATCTATTCAGATGATTTCCCATTTTTCAACTGTCTTACTTTTTTAGTTTGTTTTTTGAGCCTTTTATACAGTATGGTAAGTAAATAGCTGGTAGTTACTTTCCACCATTCTGTGGATTGTCTCTTCACTCGTTTCCATCCTGTGTGTGTGTGTGTGTGTGTGTGTGTGTGTGTGTGTGTTCATAAGTTCTTTCTCAGCAAATTTAATACTGTTATATATGAAAGCTATTTATTTGTTTACAGGTTCTAATAGTTTTCTGGTAGAGTCTTTAGCGTTTTCCATGTATAAAACCATATCTTTTACAAGTAGGGATAATTTATCTTCCTTCCTGTTTATTTGCCTTTTATGTCTTTCTCTAGCCTAGGTTAAAACTTACAGTACTTGTAGAATAAGAGCCATGAGAATGGGCACATTTTCCTGATCTTAGAGGAAATACTGTCAGCATTTCTCCATTGGTATATTGACTGTGGGTTTGTCACATACAGCCTTTATTATGTTGCATTCTGATCTTTCTACACTTGATTTGTTAAGGACTTTTATCATGAGGAGATGTTGAGTTTTATCATATGCTCTTCCTGCATCTATTGAGATGGTCTTTTGACTTTTACTCTTCTTCCTGTTGATGCTGGTGCATTATATTTATTGATTTGTATATTTTGAAGCATGTTTGCATCCTTAGGATGAAACCAAGTTGATTGTGATTAATGATCTTTTTTGGTGCACTGTTGAATGCAATTTTCTAGTACTTTTTGAAAATTTTTACATCTGTGTCCATCAGATGTATTAGCCTTTAGTTTTCCTTCTTTGTTGTGTCCTAGTCTAATTTTGTTACTAGTGTCAAGCTGGCCTCATAAAATAAGTCTGGAAGGGTTTCCTTCCTGTCTTTCAGTTCTTTCGATAGTTTGAGAGTTGGCATTAGCTCTTTAAAAGTTGGTAAACATTCAGCAGTAAAGTGATCCTAAATTTTTCTTTGGAGCCTAATAGTGATTCAATCTCATTATTTGTTTTTCATCTGTTTTCTTTTTTTCTTTCCTTTATGTCCTTATGGTTCAATTTTGGTAGGCCTGATGCATCCAGAAATGTATCTATTTCTTCTAGATTTGCAGTTTGCTAGCATGGTTTATTATAATATTCTCTGTTGATCTCTTGTATCCTCTGATGTTATTTACAGATACTTTTTTGAAAACTGGAAATCAAGGATGAAGTGTTAGACCTAATATGTATTGCTAATAACTTCCAGGCTCTTATATAAAAGTTTAAAGCAGGAGACTTAGAATAATGTAACAGATTTTATATTATGCTGTTTGAAAAATAAAATGCAGCTTCATGTACAGAATGTGAAACAGTGTAATGCACATGCTGAGGGGCTGTTTTCTTGGAAACCTGAATTATAGCCAGGTAGTGCACACGGGGTCCTGATGCTGCGGGAGGCTGAGGTGGAAGGATTGGAGGTTCGGGCCCAGCTTGGACAGCTTATTAACCTAGTGAGACCGTTTCAGAATAAAACATTTTAAAAAGGGCTGCAGGTGTCGTTCACTGTGAAGGCTCTGGGTTCAGTCCCCACAGTACAGCCCCCCAAAATCCCCAACCCCAACGAAAAAGCCTGAGTTATAATAGGATATTACGGCCACACGGTGGCAGCACCACGCCTATGAGCGGCACCCTTCGCGTCCGGCCTCTCAGGCTGCGCTTCCATTAGCCCAAGCACTAGAGTTCATTTGGTGGTTGTTTTGTCTTTTACTGTGTTGTAGTGATTTAATTTTGTCACATCCTGTATCGAGCATATTGTAAGCACTAAGTACTCATTTCTACAGTTCCTTTCCCAAACGATCAGCTTTGGAACAGAAATTAGAGAAAACACCACACACAGGACCGCACGTGGCCACAGCACGTGGAGTACTGTTCATGTTTCTTTACAAGAGAGGACTGTGAGAAAAATGCTAACGAGTGTGTTACGAAAATTAAAGGCACAGTGCAGTAAAATGCACAGTGGTGATTGTGTGTTCTGAACCAAGTCTTTCCCGTTTTTTGTGTTTATATCTGGTTTAGTGTCCTGAGGACTTTATTCCTCTGTGTGTGGGCATTTGTGTATTTTATAAGCATTTGCACTCTTGAAATAAATATAACAGAAGATTCTGAGGAATAGAGCTAAGTTATTTTAAGAGTTACGTCACTAAAGTTTATTTCTCAAGACAGATATTTTGCAGTTCTTCTTTCCCCTTAACTGAAAGAAAAGCATGGCCCTAAAAACACACTGTGTGGGAGACTGTAAGGAAGCCGCTGTGAAAGAGCTATCTGACTCCCTGATGTGAGGGCAGGGTAGGCCCAGGCAGTTCTCGAATCACAGAATGGGGAAGAATCGTATCGCACTCTAGGTTAGATACCTGTTTTTTGCTCAGATTGCCTGTTCTTTAAAACTCGTATCGTATTTATTAACTAACGTATAAATCTATCAAATAGTAGTGTTAAGACATTTGCTGCATAATAGCAATATGACACCTTAATGCTAATTTGTGACTTTTCTCTTTGTTTTAGATCCTATTTGGGTTCCAATTGTTGTTGCCGTACTACTCTTTCTAGTCGTTATCCTAGTAGCTGCTGCCTGTCACTTTAAGAAGAACTCATGTAAGAAGAACAAAATAATGCTACCCAAATCTTTGGTAATTTATTTTTATATATTTTTCTGTAGTTATTAATGTTCAAATGTTAATGCTAACCTTTTGTGACAGTTTCTTCACATTGTTTTTAAAATGGAGTGATGTTCAGCAAAACAATGTGATGTGATACGATGATATGATCGTAGTATTATAGTACTTTTCGTTTAGAAAAGCACTGACCACTCACACAGTCCATCACACATTCAGAACCACAAGCATCTTTATGGTACACCAAGGATTTTTTTGTACTCAGGACAGAAACACAAGTCTGGTAAGGAGCTTAGACTCTGATGGGAAGCAAAGATGAGTTTGTGATGGGTAGCTAGTCAGTGTGATTGGTTCAGAGGTAGAAGTTTATACCCAGCCAGAGAGGACTCCGTCCAGCGCTTGGGCTGAGGATGTTGGGGCTGTCCTGGAGCCCATGACGCCTGAGCAGTCCTGAGGGACAGTAGTTTATCCAGGTGCTAAGGGGTAGAATGTACTAGGCCAAGAGTCTAGAAAGGCTCGTTTTTGAAGATCTGTAAAAATGGAAATACTTTACTATGGTTGGAGTATATAGAAGGAAAGAGAGAGAGAGAAACTTCACATTTAATTTCTAAAAGCCTTTGAAATGATGAGAACATTTAAAGGTAATGTAATGGTAACTATTTGAATTGAATATGACAAGGATAATATCTGTGATAGTCAAAGGGTACATTAAAATTTGTTGTAAAACTATTGTTTTTAAACTAGGTAAGAACTATCAACAGTTAGTAGCCTGTTCCCGTATGAATTATAACAGGCGTCCTTCCCCTCTTGAAGCTCTGAGCTCCTTACAGCTTGTCCCTTCACACTCTCTAGAGAAGGAAAGCTACACCTGCACGCGCAGTAGTGCCAGTGCCGGTGTCAGTGGTGCGGACCAGTGGAGAGGCGTAGAGCCTGTGGGAGCGGCATTGTGCGCCATAACCGTGCCATGGCCTTTGATACAATCATCTGCCCTTTTATTCTAAGGAAATCACTTCATAAATGAAAAGATGTGTGAGAGATGCAGCACATTGTGTAGGCGGTAAAAATGGGAAACACCGGCATCTTTTAAAGATGCATCAGTAAGTAATGTGAGGCACTGAAAATGATGATGACGGAGGCAGATCAAGAAAATACTCAGTAAATAAGCTTCCATTACGTACATAATGTGTGTACACGGGCGGGTGGTGTACAGAAAGCGACGCGGACTGCAAGTTACTAGGTGACTGTCCACAAGTTTGTTTTTAATTTTATGAGAGTATTGTTCCGAAAAAGAAAAGCAAAAGCAGCCACTGATTCAGTTATATTGCCGTACATGTGTCAATTAGGCTTTTTTTGTTTGAAAAGAGGCATTTAAGCTTAATAATTCACTGTCTCCAATCATTTTCTCTTTCCTTAGCTCTCTGTGGTGAAAAGCGCCAAAGAGACAAAACCTGAATCGAAACACGAGTTACTCACATCGTCATACCAGCCGATCGCCATGGAAAATGACATGGCGGTGTCTGCAGAGGAGGTGTCTCCAGTGACAGTGTCAGGCACATGCCCCGAAGGCGGCCCCGGCAAGGAGGCGCGCGGAGAAGAGCCTTCCACTGAGACTGCCTCGCTCACCCCTGACCTGGCTTCTGGCAGCTTGGCAGCTCTGACAGAGAATTCTTTGCATTCAGCCAGTGACCAGTCAGAAACCAGTGCCGTATTCTTAAACTCCTATCAAACCCGAAGTGGGTCCAAGAGCGGCCTCGTGGATTCAGACAGCTTCTCAGAAGTCCCCTCAACTGATAAAACCGAAGCAAAGACAGAAAGACAAGAGCCCATCGTGCCAAGAAACGCCCCCACCTCTTTCGGTTACGATAAGCCGCACGTGCTTGTGGATGTGCTTGTGGGGGACGAGGGTGCCAAAGAGTCTTTGGTTGGTTATAGACTTCCAACAGATTCCACAGAGTTTTCCTGAGGTGACTGAGACGCCGCCCCTTAGCGAGGACAGTGATTTTCCTGCTTTGATTTTGGGAAGAGATCATGAACTCAGAAATGGTGTCTTAGTTGACATTAACTGACTGGAGTCACATGGTCTAGACAGATGTGGAAAGAACCTATTAATACTGTCATGTTGAGTCTGAAAGCTACAGAGATTTGCTAGTTAAATGATAATTCAAGGACAAAAAACCAAACCTAAGCGCACTATGGCTTACGCACCTTCCCATCCAAGACGGTTATAACCATGCACGCTCTCCTCCGGCCAGCACTGCGTCCTGTGGGGAGGGGATACTCACCCCTCCTTGCTGCAGAGATGTAGTGAGGGTTTTCTGCCTTTCTGTACCTCGATAGGGCCTTTGTTTTTGTAAGTGTATTGTACATATTTGGTTTTATTTTTGTTTTTAAACATTTTTATTTTGAGACAAGGTCTTGCTGTATTGCCCAGCAAGCTGACCTTGAACTCCAGATCTCCTGCCCCGGCCCCCTCAGTGGCTGGGATTACAGACATGTGCTGCTGCACCTGCTGTATATGATGCTTGTAGTGCCTCATTTTGGAGGAAACTCTGAAAGCTGTTCAAAACTGGATTTAAAACCTAAGTGCATACTAATAGTACTAATGCAGCATAGAAGGAGAAATGCGTAGATTTTTAAAATGTACTATTACATTGTTATTTTGAAATAAAGTACTTTAAGAACTTACTTTGATACTCATTTATTCCACCACTTAAGCAGTCTTTCTCAAGTAATCAGAATACTTTTATCATTTGTTGCTAAATATTAATGCTATAGAATTATTGTCTAATTATGTCTAAAGCTTTAAATAATCGTAAAAATAATCTCTTCAAAATGGTCCTTTATCTCTACCTTTCAGTATTTGGCACCCAGTGTGCAAAGCCGGTTCTGAGCAGATTTCCCTGCAGGGCTGGGGCCTTGGCTGCCCTTGAGTGTGTGGTGCTGAAGAGATGCCCCGGAGCAGCAGGCGGTCCAGGTGTAGCTGTGTCACAGGAGCGCTTGAGTTACAAAGGGAGAAATGCTAAGACTCAAATGAGTTAATGGGGCAAAACACAGTTAAGTACCATTTATGTGAGGAAATTAGCAAATGAACCACTGGAAAACATTCCTCAGTTAAAAGTGAAAATTAAAATGAGGTATTTTATGCTATGGGGGCGAGGTGATGGTAGTAAAAACACAGTTTTCAGTAGAACTGGTACCCTCTCTTGTTCCAGGACACTTGTTTTGTGAATAACTTTTCAAACTGCTATACTGGTACATACTACACTGTAAAAAATTCATATCTTTCAATAAACCTCCTTTGTTCTTGTGGGAAAATTATTTTACAAATAAATTCTTAGCCAAGGAGAGTTGTATGTGCCTGTAATCCCAGCCATTTTAGAGGCTGAGGCAGGATTTCAAATTTGAGTCCCACCGGGCAATATAGCAAGACCTTGTGTCAATGCAAAAAATAAAAAGGGCTGAGGATGTGTTTTAATGCAAAGCCCTTGGGTTCAATCCTAGTACTGCCTCCTGCAAAATAAAAACCTTAAGTGAAAAATATATTTGAATGGGTGAAAAGCAAAAATACGAAAATAATTGAAATAGAAAAGATGACATAATAGTTACTGACTGCCAAAAATATACCAATATGTAGACCCTCCATGTGTGGAGGAAGGACCTGTTTTTATGCCCTGGCCGATTTCTGACCCAGAGGCTGAGCCAGCAGTGAGCTGCTGCCACACAGGAGCCTAATGCCCAGACTGGCCCTTGCGTGGGAGCTCTGCTGACACCTGTGTTTGCTGGGGTGACCGGGGACGGGCGGGCAGGAGCCCTGTGTGTTGTGAAGGTGGACCCCTGTTTGAATGGGTTCAACTAAAAAGTACAGAGATCCTGGAATCAAATGAACTTGAGTCCTCTGATTTGTGTGGGCTAAAAAACAATTTTTAAAAATTGGTAGAGATCAAATAACAGGTCAGGACCGCTTTGCCAGTAGAGAAAACTCAGAAAAGTGTTTTTAAGGGATTTGAACTCAGGTTTCACCTTCGTTAAAGACAACGTTTTTTATTACTGTGGTCCGATGTCTCTAACTTTATGTATTAAAAAGAAAAACAAGGACATTGCCATGAACAACACAAATATATGTCATGCTTTATTTAATTTTGTCATCGGGAAGTGACATCCCAAAATAACCCCAGGGTCATCTGGAAATAGAATGTCATAAATTATAATGATTACATAGTGCTACACTAAAAACAGGCTTCTAGTCACTATTTTAAAAGGCGAAAGGTGTTTTCCTTACTAAGAAGTTCATGCAAATTTTCAGTTTTCATTTGCAAACTGCGTCTTGTTGGACTGACACTTTACCTTTGTTGTTTTTGTATTAGGTTTTCTGTCTTGTTTTCCATTATCTCTGTCCTTGAGTTATCAATTAACTAGCAAATCAAATGATGTTAATCTGTCTGTCTGTCTTCAACTCCCAGAAATCAAAGCAGTAAGATGAGATTTCCAAATTGGGAATAGTGGTATAAATCAGCCTTTTTTGCTTCTCTGGAAATCATGAAAAAGCAACAGTGAAAATTAAAAAATTAAATAGTTCTTCCACTTGGAAATTTTGTTTTTAATTCTCTACTTAAAACGCTTGAGTCAGAAAAAAGAATCCAAATTGTAGAATTGATAAAAAAAAAAAAAAAAATAGTGAAAATACAATTCAGAGCCAAAGGAGAAGCTGTGGGGTACGTTTCAGACTAAATTCCCAGTGTGAACACATATTGGAAAAAATCAAGTGAAGTAAACATCTGATGAGAGTTTTACTTAAACAAATTGGAAGGAATGTGAAAAGGTAAAGGATAAAAGTGATACATAAATTTTTAAAATTAGAACTCATGAATAATTACAAAACATGGCTCCTTGAAAACATCTTTAAAAATAATTCCTACAAATAATAAAACACGAAGAAAATATCATTATTCAAAATAGGAAGCCAAAAGAGAAACCACAGAAATGAGAAATTGATTAAGGACCAATTTCTCAATTCTATGCAAGTAAATGTAACCGCATGTAAATGGATGAAGAAAGTACAATTTGCAGAAAGTGAATCTAGATGAGACAGAAAATCCTAAAAAAAAAAAAACAAAAAACCCTAATTACCATGGAAGAGTTAAATTGAGAAAATTACCAAAGAAATTCTCCCATGCACCCCACTACCACCACCTACAAGACCACTCAAGTGATTTCCTGGGGAAATCTCTCCAGCTCTTCAGAAACAGGTAATTCCTGGGTCACACAGATTAAATTGTCCAACTGAAGAGTTGGCTGTGCAGCCACATAACTGCAGAGGCCAGTGTTGCCCATGAAGTTGCTTTCAATGTCTGCAAGAACCTGGTGACCTGGGCCAGAGAATCTTAGCCCCTTCCCTTGGAATTCCCATCAGATCATGAAAAGCAGAGAAGCACCCTCCTGTTCTACAGCGTCTGGCATGCAAAGGTTAACTTAGTGAAGCTCTAGGTCTTGCAAATGGAGATTTTTAATGGATAGCACCACATTCCCGTCCACGGAGGCTCTGGATACTTGCCCAGCACAACCTTCGTGGCAAGCTCCTCCCTACATGGGATGGGGGAGCTAAAGCAAGAGACATAATGTGCAAGGTGCCTGACCTCCTGCAGTTTATATTCTAATGGAGGGCACGGACAGTGGGAGTAAAATCAAGCATACCCTCTCAAATGATGGTGTTACAGAGACAATAAAGCAGGTAAGGCAGATGGGTGGTGGGAAGAAGTGCTGCTATTTAGGGTGGCCACAGGGGATCCACTACTAAGGTAATATTTGAATAAAGATAAGGGCATGAGGAGGAACCTGGGCATCTCAGGAAAAGCATTCAAGCAGAGGGCACCGTGCTGGTGTGGTACAGGCCTGGGATATTCAAGAAATGTGCAAAAGGCCACCCAGGCTGGAGCGATGCAGGTTAGGAGTGTAACAGGGCCCAGCAAGAGACCATAACATTTTGACTTTCATTCTGAGTGAAGTGGGAAGACATGCAAAGGTTCTGAGAAAATTATCTAATTTCACATTTAAAGGGAACGTTCTGCCTGTGGCGAAGGCCAGTGGCAGAGACAGGGAGACCAGTCAGGAGGCTGTGGCCACAAGCCAAGCAGGAGATCACGGTAGCCGAGACCCAAGTGACTACAATGGAGGAAGTGACAGCTGGTCAGACTGTGGTTCTTCTCTGAAGGTCTCCCCTGGGCCTCAAGACACATGATCATGGCCTGTGTGTGGGCCTCGGGACCCACGACATCCATAGGGTTTTCAGGGTCAGCGAAGCACCTTGGTCAGGAACAATCAAAATCTGTAGCCTCTTTCATTCAAAAAAACAGTATGAGCAAAGATCAAGAAAGGTTAACTTAGTGAAGCTCTAGGTCTTGCAAATGGAGATTTTTAAATGCAAGTTGAGTATCCCTTTTCTGAAATGCTTGGGAGCAGAACAGTTTCAGATTTTGGAACATGAGCATATACATAATGAGATATCTTTGGGCTAGGACCAGAGTCTAAACATGAAATCCATTATGTTTCATATATACGTTATATACATAGCCTGAAAGTGTAATTTTATCACAGTATGTGTAGCACACCTGTGTGACCCATCGCATGATGTTGGGTGTGGAAATTTCTACTTGTAGTATCATGTCTGTGCTAAAGAAGTTTCAGATTTTGGAACATTTCATATTTCACACTTTTGGATCAGGGATGGTCCAACTAAAAGTGTTCGTGGTCCACAAATTTAACAAAATTAAAAGACCAGTTATTATGCTTATTGCCCATGTCTGAATAACAAAGTTCCTTCTTTTCTGAATTAGAGTCCACAAACTATTTTGAATTGCAAGCCAATTATTTCCAAAATGTAGAACTGCTGAAAGGTCATGGTCCTTCTTCAGGAAAGTAAAGAGCTCCTCACCAATAAGAAGGGACAAGTAGCATCCCTATTGCTGGGACTGCAGGTCCATCCATACAAGCGTACGGTTTTCCATAGGTCTGGTGTTCAATTTGGAATTCAAGATGAAATGTTTGAAGATGTCCAGCTCCTTTCTAAACCACAGGAGAACAGGGTCTGGGGGAGAAATAGGAAACACAATCAGTGGAGGAACACCGTCAAAGTCACCCTAAATACCAGTTTTAAATACTGTTCTCAAGGAGGACAAGGGATATGTAACCTTTCCTCTGACCGAAGAAAATGATGCTGGCTCTACCGTCTTGCTCAACCCTTCCTCCCTGGTGCGTAGCACAGTATCCAGCAGATTCTCCATAAACGGCTGTGTGAGTGAGTGAATAATTAAATTTCTAATCTGTGAATGATTAAAAAGACACATCTTCTTTGATATCATTCCATTCCCTTATGGAGTGAATATCACATGTAAAGAATACGTCATCATTTTCCACTTCTCCTCAGGCTTGAGGTGAACATGTCTGATCTCACCCTCACTTTGGGGCTATTTGCTCCAGAACCTTGGTCAGGTCCTCTTATTCTGTGTTTCAGTTTTTCATCTGTGGTACCAGGATAATAATAGCAAGCTCCCAGGCTTGTTAAGAAGATTCACTAAACTGATCTATGGAAAGAACTCAGTACAGTACTCCATAATTATTGCAGCTTCTTATGGATCCCAAAATGGCACTAAAAGTATAAAGAGGACTTTTATAAAGATACTATCTTATAGATAAAAGATTTTTCTTTGTTATGAAAAATAATACACAAAAGTTAAGAATATTGTGGGCCTCCATGTACATAATTCTGAGCATTAATAATTATCAGGCTGTGGCCATTCATCCCTTTCTCCAGCCCCTCGGTATTTTGATACAAAGGGCAGACATTATGCAGTTTCATCTGTAATACTCCAATGTGTATCTCTAAAAGAATGAAAATAATAACCAAAGAGCAGAGAGAGGACTGTCTGCCTGGTGTGGATGGATCTTTGGTCTGCTGGAAGCCACAAGGACAAAGGGCAAAGAGCATCAACTGTCCAACGCAGGGACTCGGCCAGGTCCTGCCCAGACCCAAAGCATGGAGGAATCCACTGTCACAGTCCAGGTGGGCTCTCCTCTGAGGGGTGAGGGCTGGGGCCAGCATTTTATACCAGAAGAAAGGGGAAGTACAAATCCCCCATGGTTATCATACTCTTCTACATCAAGTGCCATTTTATTGGAAACAACTCTGTACAAATGTTTCTGCTTCAAAATTAGTGGGAAAAATAGAATCTAATCTTATCTTTTCATCTACCTAGAGGCACCACTGGCAATGCTGGCTCTCACACTGACGATATTACACAACTGGAGAGCTCATTGAATGGTGACAGGACGGGTTTGTTTTCTGAAATTTAACATAGCAAGAAAGTCCATATCTTTGGCAGAACTCAGTTCTTAAAGATTCTACCCTCTTCCTCCTTTTTCCTAATTTCCTCTTATTCTCCAAAGCCAGTAAGTCAGGCGGAACTCCAATTTCATTACCTGCTGCTCTACATTTAACAGCTTGAGTTACATTATTTCCCTTTTCTTCTGAACTGGAATTTGGAACACTGTGACCACTTTAAAATAAGATCCATTGCTGTCAGGGATAATGAACACTGACATGCCAAACCCAGGTTATGATCCACGTTTGCATTTAAAAAGCAAGATCAGTGCTCAGTCTAAAACTCAGTGGGAGCATGAATTAGTAAAGAGTGATGCTAAGAAGCTTGAAGACAGGGCACACCAAGGAGGTGGAAAGGAGAGAGAGGGGGTACTGCATATTTCTTCTTTTAAGCCTAAGTTACCTTGTAAGGGGCTGAAGATGTAGTTCAGTGGTACAGCACTTGCCTAAGTTACTTTATGAGTAATCACAGCTTCTCTTGGAGGAGACAAGAGTCTGGACTCGGAGGTTGGATGCAGCGTGGAGCTGCCAGAAACCCTGGTATTATCTTCACAATCTTTCTGTACACCTTTCATTTCAGAAAGCATGCAGCTGTCGGAATAACTCTGGAATTCACGATGTGATGATAAAGGTAGTCTTGCCCATAGTCTCTGAAGAAAGTCCCAACAGGCTCTGTTTCAAGACCACTTGGTCAGAGATGAGGCCTTCCCTGCATGGCCCCAGCTCCTCACAAGGCTTCAAGTATCCAGCATTGCTCTCCACAGATGCCGAGTCCTGGAGAGGGGTGATAGCACCTAAGAGAACAGCTTTCCTTCTGCTCCTTTCTTCCTGCAGAAGACCTTCCTGCCCTCTGTCTGTGAGGACTGCCTGCCCTCCAGCAGCACCACTCACCTCTGTGATGGCCCTCGCGCAGCTCCTGCTAATCTTTATGGTGGAGGACAGGGGAGTGAGGTAGCTTTGCAACCACCTCTGAAACACTTCGTCTCCCATTTAAGAAGGGGAAGAAACAAATGGGTAAAACTCACAACCCTGCCTTCACTCATTATTATCTCCATCCCTGCCTTCTTCTAGAAGGAAGGTTCAGGAAACTACAGTGCTTAGCTTATGGTGGCACAGCAAATATGTGCTAAATGTGAATGAATGAATGAATGGATGGATGGATGGATGGATGGATGGATGGATGGATGGGTGGATGAATGAACGAATACTGCTCAGCAGCCATCCCTATTCCTCACTAATGGGAAAATTCTACTAAGAACTGGACAAGGATAATTGCACAAGAAGAAAACACCAGAATGCATTTCCTCCTCTGACTTCAAGATTCCCTCTCATTGACAACAAAAAAAAATTTGCTTTATGACTTTATTGTACTTCAGTGTGTAATTGTAGTGATTCTAAAACCCTGTGGAAAATTGTAAAATGATACGATGAATCACGGGCAAAGAATAGATGACCTAGTTTGACCAGATCTAAAGGAGATAGGGAAAAGATCTAACATGGTCCAAAAGGATTGTCCTCCAGATTCACATTTTAATACATTGTTTGCTTTGCTAGGTTCAGTCATCTCTTTTCAGATTGTTGTTCACTGAGGTGGGAATGGAAAAGAGAGAGGAATTAGCTGAGTGGGGCCAGAGCCCTGAATGGAGAAGGGGCAAGAGAGCCTGAGGCACACCGTGGCGGTTCGGTGGGAAGTCACCCAAAAAAGGGACAAGAAAGAATCAAGTTTTGACCAACAAAGAATCAAGTTTTGTCCCTGGGTGGTGTAACTGCCAAGCACATTACTCAAAATCAGCCTAGCACTGGTCCCTGGCGGCCTTTCTTTTTCCTTAAGGCCGGGTGAGTTGTTTTGTCCTTGTATAAGGTTTGAGGAGGAGACAGAGGACCTGGACTCACTGTGGAGGAAGATTTTAACTCATCATCATAGAAGAGCATTTCAGGACCCATCAGTGAAAGACACAGCCAGTTTACTAGGAAGAATCAGAAAGTGCACTCAGAAAGTTCAGGTTCTTGAGAAGTGAGGTGCACTATGGTTTTGTGTTGGGAGTGTTTATGTGGTCTCGGGGTACCCTGGGGATTGATGCACTGCGATGTTTATTTCTTTGAGTTGTTTATCATTTATCTAGTGTCTGTTTCCTTACCATCTGGTTACTCAACACTGTACTAAAGCAAAAACTGGCTTCATCAACTACAGGTTAAAATGCAAACCGTGGGTGTCTGTTTGCTGTTTGGACATGTGGCACCCAATTCATAGTACCATTTCATTGAGGGTGGCGGCTTTTGGGGCTACAAAGGGTATAGTATCAAGCCAAATTTATGGACTTATTTTATCTCTAAGATTCAGGGCTTTACAAGTAAGGAGCCAGAAAGAAAAACAGGCCTGAGGCACAGAAGACAGCACAACTTAAAAATTACATTCTCCTTGTCTCTTTTCTACCTACTTCTCCCAGCCTGACTGATTCCAGCCCCCCATCTTTGTGCTATTTCCATAGCATCGGCCCTACCCTGCCTTTAAGGTCTACCAGCCCTGCCCCAACCACAAGCTTTCCACACACACGCAACTTACAGCAACTGTTTGTTTTTTTTGAGTGACTCTTTTTTTTTTTTTTTTTTTTTGTTTTTTCTCCGGTACCGGGAACTGAACTCACGACCTTGCGCTTGCCAGGCAGGTGCTTTGAGTGACTCTTACACTTTTATAAACATGATAAAATAATGCAGTAAAACAAAATTATAGTGGCTTCAAGGAAACATTTGCCATTAGTTAAGCAAGAAGGGGTGCTCAGCTTGAGTAGTTCTTTCTTTATTTTTGACTATGTACCTAGATTTACTTATGAACCATACACTTGTGAGGTGAAAATCCCTTCATTCCCTCCTTCTACAGCACAAACCCACTACTGTGCATCTTTTGAATAAACTTTTCTATTGTGAAGATTCAAAATTCATAGATGCTGCTGGTGTTTCTATTAATGAAAACAAAATGACTGGTACTTATATGCTCAGCAAAACTTTGACTCCTTTAAATTATCTTTAAGAATTCTAAATAGGTGCCAACCCATACAAAGCACAGATTGCAGCTGTCAAGCAGCAAAAGAAAAAATAACTTACTCAACTTACTAAGTTTCAATACCAAAAAAGATTAAATTTGGCTTAAAGTCCCAAAACAGATATCAAACCAGGAAGTTATGACTTATACTCAAATGTTGATACAATCTTAAAAGCTGTTATAGCTATATTAAAATAAGACTTCTGCAAGGCTAACTTCCTCTGTAAGGCAAGAATATGAGCATAGCAATAATATTATGCACCAGTATCTCTCTTCAATGTATAAAGCCCTACAAGACAAATACCTATAACAATTTTTCAATTCAATTGACATAAATCATAATTCTTCTATACTATTTTGGTCTCAGTCATTTTAAAAACATCAGTGAATTTTGAAAATACACAATTTAAGGATCCCATAATTAACAAGCAGATTTTGTAGTGAATTACACACAAATTCAGCCATCCGTCCAGTGTTCAAAAGTATTTAGTACCTAAACAATAAATACCAATGCTGACCTTGCATATTTCATAGTTCCCTCTTCTGGGATGAGCTTGAAAGGAGCTCCAGTTGCCTGGCCAGTTGCACTTGTGACCATGATGCTTAAGCGCTGCTTTCTAGGCTTCCTCCTCAGCCTCTTCTTGACTGGTGGAGTAGGTAAGTGCCTTGTTTCCTTTTAATGACACCACAGCTTTGTCTTAGAGTCTGATCAAGAGACTGCTAGAAATGGTATTGATGTTTTTCTGGGCTTTGTTAAAATTTGAACTTTCTGAGGTCATTAAATGCTAAAAGTGGCCATGGGGTCAGTTCCTATCTACAGCCTGAGTGAATCCACAGATATCTAATGAACACCTGCTAGAGAGGACACAGACTTATGGGTGCAGGAATAAATGTGTGAGGTCTCTCTTGCTTTAGGATTTCTTTGGCTTTGCAGAGACTCTGCCCACAGCAATTGTAAGCATGAGCCCCTAAGCCAGACTGTCAGAGTCTAGATTTCAACGCAGCCACTTACTAAATAAGAAAACTTGTGCTGTTTCTTGAACAACCTGTGCCTCAATTTCTTCATCTGTACAATGGAGATTGTAGCTCACTGTGAAGATTCCATGAGTGACTGTCTATGCCAAGTTCTTAGACCAGTGTCTGGCATAGAACAGGGACGTACACAAGTTGCGAGAATTTGCTGTTGGTGTTTGCAGAGAGCTCTCCAGGAACACAGAGCATCTTGTCAGGACATACCTCTGATCAAAGCCACTGGGACCTCAAGTCAACAGATGAGTATTTCTCAGTGCAGAAGGCTTGAATAAATTCCCACAATCCCACAGTTTTCCAGTGACTGATACATGAAAGTAATTCTAGCCCCTATCTTCTGGAAATCTGTGAGAAGAAGCTATGCTCCTGGTCCTCCGTAACAAGGACTCATTTAATAAAACATGGTGGGATCTTACCTGGCCCCTCACCTTGGGCTACACAAGCAACTTCTTTGGGGCTAATTACTACACAACTTCTCAGCCTCCCCATCCAAATAACACAGTGTGAAATGATCTACCTTACCTGTTGGCGGTGGAAACTAAACACGTTGACAAGAATGAACGAAGTGCCTATCGTATGTTGAATATTCATATTTGTTCAATGTTCAACGAATGCCAGCCACAAGAGGGAGGAGGAGTGGAGAAGGAGAAGGAGAAGGGATATTCTCAGCTTCTAATAGCTCTGCCTCTTCCATTAGCTCCTGTCTCCTGAGGCTTTGCTCTTGATTTTCTGCAGTCGGTAAAAGGCAGCTCTGGCGTCAGTGAGCCGAGGTTAAAAAAAAAAAACAGCTTCACTATTTCCTGCTGGGCAAGTTCCTTCACCTCTTCAAGGCTTAGGTTTTAAGTCTATAGGAGGAAGCTGCAATCGCACCTGTTCACACAAGAGCAGGGCAAATCCAGTAAGTGAATAAAACAGTCCCTCGGTGCCTAGCACAAGGTACATTGGTGGCAGTAGCAATGGTATTGCTACAAAAACAAGCCAAGAACTCCAAAGACAGAGAGATAAAGAGCCTGCAGACATCTCTCTTCAGGTTAGCAAATCAGCTTTAGACAGGTCTTCAGGAAATTGCCTGTCATCTCCTGAGAAGCTCGGAAATTTTTATGTTCTACATGTAATTAATGAGGTAGTGATGGGGCGGATGCAGTATCAACTGTGGCAATAGGTTCTTTCCAGCTACACACCGCCATTTGGTACAAGACAGGAGGCCTCCCCAAATACAAATAAAAGCAAAAAACAATGTTAACACAGTTTGGTGGGTAAGGATAGACACTCAAGGAAACAGCACCATTCCTTAGAGAATAACTAACTGTGAAAGTTGCTGAGATCATGAGTGCAGAAACATTTTCTTTCCCTCAGTAATGTAGTATTTGAGCAAAGATATAAAGAAGTAGAGAAATGGGCCATGCACAAATTCAGAGAAAGAAATGCAGGGGAAGTGTAGCTCAGGAAAAGGGCAGGGATAATACAGCACACCTAAGGTTGGGTCATTGCTGGCACAAGAAAAGAAGACCACTCCAGAGGAGAACGGTAAGAGGTAACAGAAGAGGACAGGGAGAAAACAGAGATGCTTCTTGTTTCCTTCTCCTTTGGTCCAACTTCTCTTTCCTTATCGGAATCTTTGGAGCCTAAAATAAAATGTCCTTGCAAGTCTCTTGGTGCCATAAGAACCAAACACAGGTGAGGGTGGGCCACCCGCATCATGTGATTAGAGGAAGAAGTCACAGCCATTCCAGTGCAAACCCCTCCCTCTGCTGTCAGGATCACTATCCAGAACCCTGGGCCCTATGAGGCCGCATCAGTGTGGGCCAATTCATCTGAGCGATCCTGCTGGATGCTCAGAGCCAGGAGGCAGGCAGTGAGCACAGGCCTTCAGGGAGGTTCTCAAGGACAGAACAACCTGAAGCCAGAACTGGAGATTAAACAATGAAGCAACTGAGTCTTGGGCTGAGGTCCTGGGACCAAAACGATCCCAGGCAAGTTCTGACTCAGACTGGTGGTTGAATAGCCTCCTAGGGGGATAGGTGACTTTGGCGTGGGTCTTTCATCTCGGTCATTGTATCCCATCACTACCTGGGCAAGAACTAAGGACCATATTCTTTCAATCAGATCTCCCTTTGAGTGTGGGTTGAGAGCACATCACATGTGTTTCTGTTGTCTGGAACTCATCATTCTAAAACTTCACTTTGGGCTGGAGATGTAGCTCCAAGGTAGGGCACTTGCCCAACATACACAAGGGCCTGGGTTCTGCCTGCAGTGCTCCAAAAAATTTTTTTAAAAAAAGAATGAAACTTATGTCCATGAAGATCATCACATTAAAGAGTCAAAAATGTTTCATATCTGGGCTCCTCTTCGACTACCTGCACTTCGAGCAAGTGCTTCCAGAAATGCTGATGCAGGTACTACGTTTAAAATACCTGCCAATAGCAACAGACCTCATTGTTATCTTCCATGTCTTTCCTTCTCATTGTTTTAGGACCTCAGCCAGCTCGTGACTCTCTGAAGCCTCAGAGGGTTCGATTTCAGTCGCGAAACTTTCATAATGTCTTGCTCTGGCAGCCTGGGTGGGCACTCAGCAGCAACAGGAGCGTCTATTTTGTGCAGTACAAAGTGTAAGTAAATTGAGCTTCCTTCAGGTGACAGGAAAGGCCGCAGGGATGGCGCAATCTGGAACACCATGGAGTATTAGTAGCTGAGGTTTTTTCTGAGGAGTTTCAGAAGGGTTTCAGAGGAGCATAGACAGGGACAGAAGTGACTTGATTTCCTGAAAGGCTGCTTGGGGATTTGAAACACTTCAGGATACAGTCTTTAGAGCAGACCCTTCAGTCCTAAGAAAGCAGAGACCTGCGGCTTGGGCACCTTTGGTGCCTGGCCCTTGGTGAGTTCTCAGGACACATTTGTCGAATGAATGGTGGAAGTGCCTTGCTTTACACATAGCAAGTACTATGAACACCTGAAGTGAACATGTGACAACACTGAGTGTATAAAATTCATTTCTAAACCTAAAACTCATTTTTTACAGTGGCACTCCTGTTTGCATAATTCTTTTCAAATGTCAGTGACTCTGGTAGGCGTGAACACATACTGGGACGTGCTGCTGAGTGTTCTTGCGGGACCCTCACACAATGCCTGCAGGACCAGGGCCAGTACTCAGCTATCATTCACTCTCCCTGGATCGAGGCTTGGAAATACACACTGCTGATTGAAAACAGCAGGCTTTTCTGCATTGCATTCCCTCGGGTTGTTAGAGGCTCTGCCTCCCCTGACATAGTTTGAGATGTTGGCTGAACACAAGACAGGAAGTATTGCTACTTAGTTTTTGTGCATTCTTGTTAGAAATTCAGAAAATCAGAGATATGCATGAGGCAGAGTAGCGATTTTTTATTCTATGCCCCTCCAACATGGGGTAGACCTTAGTTCAGATTTTCTTATTAATTCAGAAGGATTAACCCCAGAAGTTTCTTAGCCTTTAACTGTCCCTGTTCTTCTCTATACATTTTGTTTAGCAAATGTAAAACTCCCATATCTTTACAAGAAAGGAGCTTCATTAGAAAAATAGATTTGTGCATAGCTAGAGATCCTCCATTATAGAGGAAATAGAGATCAATACTCTTTATATGTCTTCTCTGGCAGCCTAATGGGTCCAAAATGTACCTCTTTGTGAGCAAAGTGATGAGGGGATTAGAAGCTGTTTCATGATGAAGATTAAACTTCAGGACCCCCATGGAATAATTTTAAATTTATAATTCTTTTCCTTTAAAAGGGTTCCCATGGGTTATATAAATTTCAGTTCTCAGAATACCTGGAGCCATTGCTGTCTCTGTGGTATTTTCAGTTGCACCATGCAGCTCTATAATTTTGAAAACTTTCACTTTGGTTATTCCTGATTCCTATCAGTCTAAGGTTAACAGATTGGATTGGACAAAAACCTGAGGTTTCATATTAAAAGAGAAGTCAGTCATTACAGCTAAGGTCCAGCTCACAAAGACAATGTCTCATCAATAAATAGCTAGAAGTCATCCAATTGTGCCCCAGCCATGCTGTTGGTTCTGCTTTAACACTGATATAATGAAACTGTTGTCATTGTATAGATCACAGAGAATTGAGACCAGAAATACTCTTCATGGAATGGCTCCAAAATTAGATTTCAAGTCCTTCAACAAAGGAAGAGCCTTTCTCCCAGCCTCCACTTCCTGCTCTGCTCCCTGCTAGCACCGTACTGTTTTTGCTCAGATTTGTGACTGAAAAGGAAGTGAAGTCTTAGTCTTCTCTCTGGCTCTTACACCATCCTCTGGCCTCAGCAACTACCTGTCTGCTTCTTTGCCTCATCACCTTTTATCCCTCTCTCTCCCAGGCCCTAATCACAGGGCTCTCTATGGCGCCATCACCACAACTTCTGCTTCATTTTCAATAAAGAGATGAGTCATGTGTGTTCAGTAAGCATCACCTAGGATAACAAACGGTAGCAATTTCTCAGAATCAACCATATTGCTCAATAGGAAGCAGATGAGAAGCGGAGGAAAACCACAGAGTTGAAACCTCAGAAGCATTAAGGATTAGAGAGTGAGTATTTAAAAATGGAAGTCAGTCCCTGTACCAGAAGGATTGGTTTGACAGATATGAACAAACTACAAACTACTTATGTTAATGATACAGAAAGTGTCAAGGTTGAATTGCTCTTTCAGTTGGCTAGCACTTTGGTTAACGAGACAGAAATCTTCACAATTTTCAAATATTGAAGATTGCAGTAAGTGGCACTGACGACAGGGCAGATTTCAAGCTTTCTAAAGAACACACTGGAAAACCTGAAAACTTCAATGGAGAAAAGAAACAGATGTTTGTACTTTTGCTTCCTTTAGGTATGGTGAGAGAGAGTGGAAACATAAGGAGGAATGTTGGGGTACTCAGGAACTCTTTTGTGACCTTACAAACGAAACCTCAGACCTGCAGGAGCCTTACTATGGGAGGGTGAGGGCGGCCTCGGCAGGGAGCTACTCGGGCTGGAGCATGACGCCACGCTTCATTCCCTGGTGGGAAAGTGAGTGAGTTCATGGAATTCTCTGTCTTGTCTCTTTCCTGCCTTTGAGCTGCCTCGCAGGGCCAGACTTTGTGCCTTGCTGGTTTTAAAAATGTTTTATAGGATATAAATCATACTTCCTACAATGTACTTTTACAACATATAAAGTTTAATGGTTTTAATGTATCCGTGTATCTATTTAAGAATCACCCACAGACAACTTTAGAACACTTTTGTCACCTCAGAAAGACACTCCATGCCCTGTGGCTACACCTTTCTCACGCCTGATTGCCCCAGGACCCCCAGCTGTCCTCCCTGTCTCCGTACAGTTCCTTGTTCTAGATAAAATCATAATATGTGGTCTTTTAAGACTGATTTCTTTCACTTAGCCTTGTTTTCAAGGTCTATCCATGGTTGTAGCCATATCAATACTTCATTCTCTTAAATGGCCAAATAATCCTCCATTATGTGGGTTTTCTACCCATCAAGTAAGAATAGCCAAACATTTTGGTTCAGATGAGAGGAAGCTTTGGCTCAATCTTCCTATTAAAATTGGGACAGTGCTAAGAAGAGTTTAACATGTGTTTATATTGCCACCCCCTCTATAAAAAAGAAAAGTCCTTAGGCAGGGCTCTATAAGAAGCCTTTCTTTTTTTTTTTTGGCCAGGGCATCATAGGTACAAGACTTAGAAATGCAGTTCATAGACCAGTTGAAATTGGAGCTCCTCCCGTAGAAGCAATTGTGAGGAGCCTTGCCCACTCAGCTGTCCCAGCACCTTCCAGTGTGGTTCCCTCCTCCAACAACACCTGAAGCTTTTCTTTTAAACAGAGTCTTGCTACGTAGTGCTGGCTGGCCTTGAACTCACTTATGTAGCCTAGGCTGAACTTGAACTCATGGCGATCCTCCTGCCTCATCCTCCCTAGTTCTGGGATTACAGAGGTGTGCCACCATGCCCGGCTTCCTGAGGCTTTTTTGAAAAACCTGTTTGAAAAATAGGCTTCTAGGATCTTAGAAGCATGTTCCTAGAGTCTACTGTATGAGCTAATAAACCACCTATCTGCTTTGGCTTACCGGAAATCTATTGCTCAGGACAGGATTGTATTTTACATGAAAAAGTTCTGGTTCCTGATCCCTATTTAGACAAGAAGCAATAGTTCAAATAACAAAAAACCTTAAGTGGAAATCAGAATTTGATCCTTTGTAATTTCAATATTATCTGAACCTAGAGTTTCTTGGATTAAATATAGATATGGATTTTTAGAATAGTACCAATATTCTAATGGGGTGGGCTACATTCAGATTAAAGAATCACCCTACCTATTTATTTATTCAGCAATTATTTATAAGGTACTTACTATGTTCCAGGTATTTTATGAGGTCCTAGAGGAAATCTAGCAAGCACAGCAGACATAGAGAAGTCTCTTTCTTCCTTGAGCATTCTGTTTAATAGGGAAGACAGATAGCAATGAAAGAATCACACATGCATAAAATGTTATTTGTGACAGGTGGTACAAAAGACAGAGGCACAGCGCTAGGAGAGCCGGGCCAAGTAGGGAGCTGGCTATTGATGTGAGGAAAAGCATTCCTATGGAAGTGACACTTGAGCTGATAGCTATAGATTAAAGGGGGCAAATTGGACAGAGGGTAGAGCAGAGGATTCCAGGAAAAGGAAAAAGGATCTGCAAAGACTTGGTGGCGGAAGGGAGCATAATAATCCAAGAGACTAGAAGACAGCTGGTGTGGTAAAATACAGCATGCAAGGAGGGAGGACGGAGTGAGGGGGATCTGGAAAGGTAGGCTGGGATGAGAATTTCCTGTGCAGGAGTTACAGTTTCCTCTAGGAAATAAATATACATAACTTTAGGGAGGTAGGCAGTTTTGGGAATTGAACCCTGTGTCTTGCTTATGCTAGCCAAGAAGTCTACCATGAGCTACACCTCACCCTCCAAAAAAATGTAATTTGAATTGCAGGAACACATGATCAGACTTATGCATTGAAAAGATCACTTTGATTACATTTGGGGAGACAGACTGGATGTAAGCTGTTATGGTTTGTGTCTAGACGTCCCCCCAAGGCCTCATGCAGGCATAGAGTTTTTTTCGGAGGTAGCTGAATCTAGAGTGTGTGCTTGATCATGGTTCAATGCTAGGATTAAGGGTGCTGGAATTAAGGGTGGGTGATTTCACACCACTGACTGGATGGGCACCACCCTAGGCCCAGTAGACTGGATAAGATAAAGAGGAAGAGAGAGGGTTGTCTCCCCTTGTCCTTCGCTTGTTGCTTTCGCTGTCTTCTGTCAGCCGTGAATTGCTCTCTTCTGCAAAGCCACTCTGCCTTGGAGCCAGCCAATTATGGACTGAAACCTCTACAAACTGTGAGCTAATTAAATCTTTTCCTCTTTAACTTTGCATGCTGGGTATTTTGTCTCAGCAATGAGAAAAGTAACTAAGACATAAGCAAGTGAGGTTACTGTAATAGTCTACAGAATACAGACCAGCCTGAGTTAAGAAAATGAAAGGGTTATGGAAAGTTTATCATTGGAAGGCTATTTCACAGGAAAAAATGGCAGAACTTGATAATAGGATAGATATAGTAGAGAATATGTCTGAGATGATCTCTAAATATCTTTCTTACATAACTAGATTGTTGAGATGTTTTTGGTGGAGTTTCACCAAAAAAAAGGCCAGTTTGGTGAAAAGTAGGGTAGTTAAGATTGTGAATTCAGTTCAGATGTTGAGTTCAAGGTATTTTGAGAAGCAGGGTGTGGAGGTACATGCCTTTAATCTCAGCATTAAGGAGGTTAAGGCAGAAATATTGCCACAAATTCAAGGCCAGTCTGCACTACATAGTGAGTTCAATATCAGCCTGAACTACATATCGAGACCCTATCTCAAAATTAATCAATCAATCAATCAATCAAAACAAAGAGGATGTGAATCTATAACCTAAAAATTATAATGAATACCAAACAGCAAAACAATAAGAAAATCCATACTTAGCAGTGTTACAGTAAATCTGGGGATAATTAGTTTCTTTCTTTTTTCAATTTCTTTACTTTAAAGAGAATAAAAGCAATAATAAAAAAAAACACTAGAAAGGATACAGAATTTCACAAAACAAGATGACAAGAATTCAACAATGGTCATTATATTGCATATTGTTGTCTTCAAATTAGCTGCTCAGATTACCAGATATAAGCATGCAAAATTGGTCAAAAAAATAAAGCATTAACTGATTTTTTCAATAAACCAATAGAAATCAGCAGTACAATTATCTTAGCTATCTTGTGTGCATATATATATATATATTTTTCCTTTCCTTCCATCTTTCTTTTCTCCTTTCTCTCATCCCAGTTGTTCCCTCCTGAGCAGCCTTTTCTCTTTCACAACATCCACTATACCTTCCAGACCCCACTCATTTCCCCAGGTGCCCACTCCAGGGAGACAACACAATGTCCACACATGTGGGTCTGACCCACTCCACCCACGAGCATGGTCTCCAGCAGCATCCATCCACCCACAGAAGCCCCAAGTCCATCCTTCCCCATAGCTGAGCAATACTCCACCATATAAAAACATAGAGTTTCATATTCAGCAAAGATCTGGTTATTGGGAACAAAATGTGTGAACCAGAATTCTCTCATTTTGTAATGATTTATCATGATGCATGGTGTGTCCATGTGTCAGATCTCATTTTTTTAATGGTTTGTCAAAATTTCCTATGCTTTCTCCAGCAACAATTGAGCCTCCAGTCATAAATATAACCAGAGTTAATGGATTGTTGTCCGTGGTTCTCCATGCTCCAGATTTCCCATATAGACACCTGAAAGGAAAAACAAAATCAATGGAAAATTACTATGAACTAGAATATCGAGTTTTTATAATGAAAAATTCACTAAAAATGGTAAGTGCAGATGAGTATGTTTTCCATTTGTTAAATGTTAAATAGCATTTTAATCATATTGAGTATCCTCTCTTTTGCTGCTCTATCTCCTCTTGTTTTTTCCCCCACCTTGTTTGTTTTGTTGTTTTTTTGTTTGTTTGTTTTTCTGGTACCGGGAATCAAACTCATGACCTCGCACTTGCCAGGCAGGCACTGTGCCGCTGAGCTAAACCCCCAGCCCCGCCATCTTGTTTCATTCTTCCTTACTTTCACCCTCGGTGATGAACAACTGTGCTTAGATCACCAGCTAAGCTTGTGTGTCCATATGTGTATGTGCGATTGGTGTGTGTCAGTGTGCACATGTGTGTGCCTATGTGCCCTTTGGATCACTCGACTTGCCTCTGTCTGGTCTTCTCGCATATCTAGGAATTGGTAACAATATTCCATTCCATTTGACTGCCACAAACATTCAATTTGTATGGGTTTTCCATACCTTATTTAGCTTAGTAGCTTTTGAATCACAGCACTACGTATTTCCATCAGTTTTGCAATGGTAATCTGTAATTTGCTATCAGAAAATCCACCACCACTGCCTTTACCTGGGCTTGGTGGTGACCTGAGTGTTCTTTTCTAATGTGCCTCTTAGACAGAGTTCCTCGGGTTGTAAGGAAGAGAAACTCATTCACACTCCTTTCAGTGCAAAAGAGAAGGGGGAAAGTTGCATTCGGTGCTAGCAAGCAACCTCATGGACGCCCAGAAACAGGAAACAAGAGCTGCCTGGCTTTCTAAGGACGAGAGGGGGGAGCAGGGAAGTGAGTTTTCTGGGATTCTCCTCTGTCTCTCTGACCTTCAGTATCTCTGTGGCTGCATATTGCATGTCTACATTTATCTCTTCAAGTTCTTGTGAAAGAGACACTGACCCCTGGGTCAGTCATTCAACAGCGCTCAGGGGAAGCCAGGTAGCACCTGTGGGGCCCCTGACTGTTACTTCACTGGGTGTGGCCCAGGAGTGGGGAAGGAGGCTGTGTCTATGAAGGAACCTGACTAACCATCCACTCCCATGGCCGTCATAACTTCCTAATCAAAAATTGAGCAAATTGGTGAGTTTCTAGAAACAGGTACCATCTGATTTTTTTCTCTTGGGTACAGGAGCAACAACTCTATGAAGGGCCTCGCAGAGTTGTTGAAGTTGAAGCACTCTTACCTCACTCTGGAGCCTGCCTCATGGCTGAAATATACATACCCAGGCTTGACCGAGGAAGCCCCAGGAGTGCAAAGACATGCGTGGGAGTTGCATAAACTGGAACAACGTGCTCTGAAGGATGAAGAAGTCCAGCGGCTTGTCTTATTGAAAGTCATTTTTTTATTTTCTTAATGCAGCATTCACTGTTACATTTCAGGGCCTTCTTTGTTTATCCATTTTTCTTTTTTAAAAAATAACATGCTTTTTGATCCTCTTCTTTTATTAGTATGTGTGAGTAGTACAAAATACTAGTATTCCTTGTATGGAATTGGTCCATGTGAAGAGCACATCTTAATTCCCGTTTTCACCCACTTCTTCTCCCCCCACATCACTTGATCCTTTTCCATTTGACAAAGATCTATCTCACTACTTCCTATTATCAATCTTTTATTTTGCTCTTTATTTATATTTTGGTTTTCTCATCTAAGAGAAAACATGTAATAATTAAGCTTGTGCATCTGATTTATTTCACTTAAAACTAGGGTCTCAAGGGGTATCCAATTTCCTACAAATGACTCAAGTTTATCTTTCTTTATGGCAGAGTATTACTCTGGATTAATATCTAGATTAAGGTTACCACCAATAACATGTAAATGTTAAATGAAGTCTACTCAATATAACTTCCCTTCATTTAGTACATACCCACATGAAGATTACCTTTTCTATTTTTGCTTTTAATGTTGCCTTGTATGAATTTATTGTTGGTCTCCAAATGAGGTATATTTTTCAGCAATAAAGAGAAAAAGAAACCTTAACCCTAAGTTTATGCCATATTAGTAACTCAACCTTCCTAGCAAAGGGCCTCTTGCCGGTTGTACCGTCACAATTTTTATGTAGGAGGATCATATAAATGACAGCTTGATTTGGGACAGTCAGGGTCCATGTAGAGAACTTGACTCAAAGCTGAAGGCACTCAGTAGGTGGCAGGTTTGTTGGGAGAAGAAAGCATGTGAACAGGTGTTTCCAGAGCTTATATGGCTACACAAACCCTCTGAACCCCTTCTGCCTCTCCCAAATCAAGACCAGTAGCATAAGGCTCAGTGTAGCCTACAGATAGCTGCCTTCTGCACCCTGGGCTAAGTCCTTATAAGTGTTTAAGGTTGGTGTCTTGCAAGGAGGTATATATCAGAACATTTGTACAAGGCCTTAGGAGAATTACCACTCTTATAGCTGCTTGACCCAAAAGCTCTGGGGCCAGCTTTGCTTCCTTTCTCTGACATTGTACATTCAATGCGTCAATAAATTCTCTTGGACCTACATCAAAATATGACCCTTCTCACAAACCCTGTGTCCTAGGCACCACCATTTCCTATCTGAACAATGATTCCAGCCATCCCAGTCTCCTCGCTCCACCTGCCTCACTAGTCAAATCTTACATGGTAGCCAAGATGAGCCTTCAAGGACATGTCAGATCCTGTCACTTTCCAATGGCTTCCTGTCTCATAAGGGTGAAAGCCAAAGTCCTCATAATGGCCTCCCCACTTAGAACCCTGCAGTATCTGCTTCACATTCTTGGTTTCTTTCAGTCTCCATTCTCTAATTCTCACCTTCCTCAATGTGCATGGACACCGTGGCTGGGCCTTCGCACCAGCTGTTTTCTGGAAGCTTGTATCCCCAGCAATGATACTTCTTTCACCATTTGACTAAAAATCACAGGCTGCATCCTGTCTTGCAACTCTCTGTACCCCTCATTTTTCTCAGAGTACTTTAACTACCCAACATAACTATAGTTTATTGATCTTGTTTGTTTTTTATCTTCTCCTCCTCTACTGGGATGTAAAAGCACCCTTTTCTTCTACAGCTACATGTTCACTATCTAGAACAAAGGTGGTACACGTAAATACTTAATTAATATTTGTTGGATAAATTAAAGAAGCAAGCTTAGACCTATTGAGAGCAGGGAGGAACAGACCAGGGACACAAGGGGAGGATTTTCTTGCAATTTTATACAACCTGTTACCTCATCTTCCTCATAGATTAGTGTGGGAGAATGAGCTATTCTGTATACAGATGATCTTTACAGACCAAGATAGAAGAAGACCAGGTCTTAGGCAGTTCTAATTCCACAGAGAAAAACTAACTGGACTAGTTGTCCTTTCTCCAGCTATATAATATTTCCTAGATGTTTTTTGTCCTTTCCAGCTGATGGTCAAGTCCAGAAGTCCTGTCTCAGATGTTCTTCGAAATGGGAGAAGAAATAAAATTTAAAATATAAAAAGGACACATCCACATTGACAAAAAGGAATTAAATATGTCCTCATGACAGGGTTGAGAAAAATGAATGAAACCAGAAGTTAGGAAGTCTTCTAAGCATGGAAGCCTGTTTCACCTTGCGGTGCATCAAAGCTGTTAGAAGGGAGCTGACTTCTCTCGTGCCAAGCACTTCTCTGTTGCGTGACTATGGTGATGGTGACTATGGGATGGTGATGAGCTTGATAGAAAGATTCTAATGGACACCCAAGAAATGACTTTTCTTTAGAGGCAGAGGATATGGAATTCTGGGGAGATGGTTAAATAATAGAGGACACACAGCTCTCAGACAGATGTTAAGCTCCCCAGATCCCTGCATCTCTCTACTCCCCTGATCCCTCTCTATTTTTCTGTGGCAGTAGCACCAGCCAGTTGCTGTTCATAAGCCTCCCCAGGGAAGAGGCCTTCTCTGTTGTCTCATCAGGACTGGGCATCTCTTGTCTGTCTTTGAAGGAGGCTGGCAAGGGTCCTGCCTGCTCACCCGGACAAGCAAATGGTGGAAAACATCCCCAGCCCCAGCCCGTAACTTGGCTGAGAGTGGATGGAGTCGTGGTCACTTTCTCCAGCAAATCTCTCACAATGCCAGCTTCAGCTTGAGTTGGTCACTTGTATAGACACTGTTGCTTTAACCTCACATTTGCCTTCAAGGCAGCCATGATTACTTCTGTTTCACAGATCAGACCAACGGTTAAGTGATTTATCAATGATGGGAAACCCTATCAGTTTACTTGCCCAGTTTATGCTTTTAACCAGGCCCTCCACAACTCCCTCCAGTTCTTTGTACATAGAGAATTTCCTTTACTCTCTTTTAAATAAAATTTTTTTTTAAAAGTGCCAGCATGGCCCTACTGAACCTGGTGACTTTTTGAAATGTCAGTATAGTAAAGGCCTTGTGTTGACCTTCAGAACAAGAGAACATGGGCCAGAGCAGTCTGATGGGGCAGCGGGACAGCTGGTGGGTGGCCACTGCCTTGGAGGATAAACAAGAGCAGCACCTGAACACCTCTTCACGTATTCACCAGAAAGATCTCTTAAGCCCATATATTTATTGCCATTCAGTCCTTCCTCAGTTTCCATATCGAAGTTGTTTTTAAGGTGTGTGTATGTGTGTGTGTGTGTGTGTGTGTGTGTGTGTGTGTGTATTTCTGAGACAGGGTCTCTCTATGTAGCCCAGGCTGGCCTTGAACTCTTGATCTTCCTGTCCCAGCCTCCCAAGTGCTAAGATTATGGATGTGTGCCACCGCACTTGGCTGTCATTTCAAATAAAACTCAGGAGCATATTTTTTTCATGTAAGGAGAAAACAAAACATCATGAGGTAATACCTATTTCGCAAGTGAACTCTAGACAAGATCTTTGAAACTCTTGAAACATTTCAAAATTCTTACAACAAACTACTTGGCTCCCTTAACGATATGACTGAGAAATGAGTAAACTGAGAAAACAGAATTTTTGTCATTGTTTCGGGAGATTTTCTTGGTTTGATTTATCCTGTTGGTTGAGACCCTGGTCCTGGGAAAAGAAAGTAGGCGTTTGTGTCTGAACAATGGCAGAACTTGCTACGTGGCCAATTCTGATGTCATCATGGCTGAACCATGTAGACTGATCTCTGCAGAACACAGATTGCCTTGGGAAGGGCCTCTGTTCCCAGCGTCCCAAAAGCATAGTCTTTGTTTTGTTTGGCTGAGACCTCAATCCTTTCCAACCCATCTTCAACAATCCCTGACCTCTTTTTGCCCGCAGCTCCTGGTCTAATGTGAGCAGGGCATGGTCCACTGGGCCCTCTTTCCCTCTCAGAATGTCCTCCTCGTCTCCGATCCCCAATTAAAATATAGAAAGAAGCCAGTAAGTTTACCCAACACTTACAAATGAGTTAGCTCTGCCAAATATTTGGACTTGGAGATTTTTTTCTGTAAAAGATTAATTTAGAACAAAATGCTTTGCCTTGAGTGAAACTGCTTCTAGACCATGCTGACAGCTAGAATGGTATGTTTTAGGCACAAAGGCCCTTCACCTTGCCCTGAAACCATACTGTTCCCAAGGCTGATGGCACTGGGGATAGGTCTATTTAATCTTTCCAGAGGTTAGAAAGCAGGGAGCTGGTGTGGCACGCTGTGAGACCTACTCTTTTTCCCTCACTCACTCCTCATTTCATCCACTGACATTAAGACTTCCACATGACATCCCCAGAACCCTGCCTTCTTGTTTCCTGTCCCTGTCTATCACCTCATCCAAGGGGTCTTCCCTCCTCCACACCCACACTGGATCATGTGGTGGGGCTTGACTTGGGCAGATCAACAGAGTACTTTTCAATATTAACATCTCCAAGTGCGGAGAAGCCTGCAGCCCCCCCTGGAACCATATGACACAAGCTTTGACTAAGCCTGGAGCTACAAAGGTCAACCTTCCTGGAAGATAGAGAAAGCCCAGGGGAGAACGGATGGAAAGAAGAGCAGAGTGGGAAGAGACAGGTGCCTGATGGTATGCAAGTAAATCCAGCTGTGCTGAAAGAGCCCAGCTTCTGAACTGTGACTCTAAGTGAACAGATAATTCCTTTTTTCCCTCTTTCGTTTGACTTGAATTTCTATCACTTTCAAACAAAAGATCTTTGGTAAGTAGAACAAAAGAGCATGTTTGTATGGCATGAGTTATGTACCAAATTAACTGATGTAAAATTTTCCCATGTCTCTCTCATCTTTAACTACTGAGAACATTCCTGGTAGCTTTTGTTCTGCACACATACAATCAATGCAGTGTGAGCCCTGGAAAACCCTACAGAGATGTGCAAGCCTGCTCTGGTCAGGGCTTTGGTGTGAGTCAAGGTCCCTGTTTACAGCAAATTCTCACTTGATTATATCACTTGGTTCAATTTGCAACTTTCTAGCCACTGGAACCAAGTGAAATTTTATATCTATTCATTTTTATAGCAGCAAATCAAGATCCTATGTGATATTCTTCCAAGGTCACATGGCTACATAATCAAAGAACCAATGTCTCCCTTTTGCTTCATCAATATAATCTTCAAGGTCAAAAAGTCATTTTTTTAAATGTTCCCAGTTCAGGTCGGAACTAGTACTGACATCTTGATATATGGCTAGGGTAGTGCTAGAGAATGCAAAATATTTCCTGGGCCACATCCTAGTACTTCCTTCATATATTCTCTCTCTCTGTCTCTGTCTGTGTGTTTCTCTGTCTCTGTCTCCATCTCTCTCTTTCTCTCTCTCTCTCTCTGTTTCTCTCTCTGACACACACAGAGCGTCCGCTGGTGCAGGCTCATCATCATAGCAAGCCACCTCCTCATTTTGAGAAGAAAACTTTAAAGCAAAGAAGTGGCTGTGGTTTCCAATATAATGTATAGTTACAAAGAAGATTGGTTCTTTAGATGAGTCCTTAACACAAATACTCACTAAGAACAAGTTTTCTTTCCTGCGTAAAGCCCAGCCAATACCCGACTTCACTGCCATCTTTCACATTTGTGTAAAGAACTGTTTTTGCATTGTTTAATTA